GAAGATCAACAAGGTTAAATGATTTTACTAAAGTACACAGATAATTAATGGTCGGGCTAAAGTTAAATCTATTGTTGAATAATTACCTTGGAAGGAATCCATTTTGATTAATTTACCACATTGCTAAATGAGTTGATATAATACAAAAGTTTGATTTGGGGGTCAGTCTAGCCTTTTGAAATGAAGGAGCCCTTTTAATGTTTTCAATTTGCCCTCTTTTCTATCATTTTATTGTCATTTCATTAGTGGACAATTGACCGCACCATTGGATGAGGAAAGTTGACTTTTCTCTATGTGCCAGCAGAATTGGGACTTCTTATCTTTTTCCCAGAGAAATAGACAATAGTAACCCTAGTAAATGAAGGAAACCACATATTGACAGAAGCATGGCAAGTTATTCGACATAAGAGACACTTTCTCCTTCACACTGATCTAAAACATCACCTCCTCTCTCTTGTTCACAGAACCCCTCTGAAGCTTTCAAGACAAAGAAGGCAGCTGGCCACTGTATTTCTCTTTTTATTTCTTTTCTAAGCCAAATCAATAAGACTCTTCAGAATCACAGCAACATAAACATATTGGCTCAAACCCTTTGCAAATTTGTAATTATATATTTCTTTGTATGATCATTTGACCAAAGTCAGGTGAGTTCACTAAATGTTAACCTCCTTGAAGATAGTGAATATATCTTTCTTCCTCTATATTATATCTCCTGCTCCTTACAGAGGTACCAGGAAACCTCAAATTCATATCAATATCATTGAACAAATATTCTGCTGTTGTCAAGATGTGGTAACTACATCAGCAATATCAGGATCAACTAACCATGTTGGAGAAACAAATACTTAGACCTCCATTCAGACCTACTGAATCAGAAGCTCTAGGGCTAGAGCTCAGCCATCTATGTCTGAACATCCCCAGAGGGGATTCTAATAGATGCTATTTGAGATTTTCTTCTCTGAAAGCACAAGTTGATTTCTAACCATGGGTGGTCACATAGATGTGCAGGGCAAATCATGTCCAAAAACGGCAGATAACTATCTGGATATCGGGAAACAATGTGCTGATCCAGCTTGGATGGATTCCTATTTGATTATATCCTTTTCTGTGGAATCTAATAAGTTCTCTCTATTATGAAACTATTGAGTTAAGTTCTTATTTCCCACCATCAAGAGAGAACATTGTCCAGACCACTTAGGAGAGCGATACCCTAGTCTTGGTACTCTAATCCCTGGAGAACCAGCCAGCAAGATTGCACCTTCTCTTGTTCATACTAGTTAGACAAACTGGGCAAGTGAACTAGAGTTCAACATCCTCATAGCTCCTCCCAGGCAGTTTAGTAGGAATGGTCTCCATTCTGTCTTTATTTGGGTCTTTGGGGTGCTTGCTAAATAGGACTCTCACCAGAGCTGCAACCCCACTTTCTCTCTTGGAGTAAATACATTAACTGCAGGGAGCAGATAACTGTCATTGGCTTGGTTTTCTTTGGTTCAGAAACACTAACCAGGAAGGCTTGCAGGGGAGCCTTTTCCCCCTTTCAACTAGCTTAAGTCCCACACAGAGAAGTCTCACTCCATAAGATCACTTGCCTTTTATGGTGGGTTTTCCCCCCAATTCTTTAACAATTCTGATTCTTATGAAGTGTGATAAATTGCTAAAATACTTGTTAGTAACTTTCTCAGTTTTTTTTCAAAATATTAAAATTCTCCAAATAATTCAGCATGAGATAAAAAGTTTAACATTCTTAGAAGAGGATTTAATAACATATTAATAAATTTGTATGTAGAATTGATTTATTAAATAACATATTTTAAGAGAAAACCATAAAAATGTGTATCAATTATTCCAAATGTGTTTAGTAAAGGCCTGGGCTGGGCATTCCTGAATGATGGTGTAGATTCTACTCTTTCTGAGTGGAACTAATCTGCTTTGGAATAATCTGTGTTCCTTTTCACTTTCTTCTCTTCTCTTCTGGTAAAACAGGAAGAAAAAGAAATTAAGTCATGGAAACCTTCTTTCCCTTTTGGTTCTGTGTTTTATCTTACATGGAACTAAAAGTTTCCAGAAAAGGAGAACATCTATTTAGTTAATTATTTCTAAAGTTCCATTTTGAATCCTCCTAAAATCATTCACAGACAGAGGGACATTAAACACCTAGGTGTCTTAAAGTGAATTGTTTGTTAGGGCTTTTAGAAATTCCATTACATGTTTTTATTTGTTTACTTTTTACTTTGGTTACCATATCATAAAGTCAAAGAGCAAATAAATTCACATGTGCAACCATTCCTGCAATTGCACAGGAATTTGGTAACATAAAATGTGGGAAACAATTTCTTCACTTAAGAAACTAAACACTTGGGAAGTTGCCATCGAACTATGTCTGAAAACGGTTTCTGTTTGCATGCTTGTGAAGTTTTTGATAAGACACTTGTTCATGGTCTTCTTTAAGAGCTACTCCGCTGATCCTGGTTCCCAAGTGAATTATTTTTAATTCTGTGATTGTTACCAGGAAGACTCCTGTTTTCTGACTGGGTTGGGGCTTACCTAACCCATTCTCAACAACTCGAGTCCTTCCGACATTTCATCCTGTGGTTGACAACACATAAGCCAGTGAGATATAATAGAATTGCATGGTTTGAAATAATATAGGAATAAATAAAGTGATGTAGAAGGAATTCATGAAAATGACTGACTAGAAAGGGATGATGACAAACATTTTTAGATTTTCAGATCAGTGTGAACTATACTACATTCCACATAATTCTGCACTCTGCTCCATTCATAAACAGTACTTCAGGTTATAGCTTTTCAAAATTCCACTAGAGCCACTGCCAATTTGGAGAGGTTGGGAAAAGGCCAAATGCTGCCATATATAACAAAGAATTGAATGTGGAAAAATGCAAGTGGCAATGTCTCAGCTGGCAAAAGCAGAAAAAAAAAATTTGCCAAGCAGGAAAATATCCATAGCAGTCACAAAGGTGAGACAAGAAAGGTCACAAGAATAAATGAGTTTTTTGTGTTAAGATCAGTCTGTAATTTCTCCATTAAGATCAGACAAACAAGTCTCCTTGGCTGCCCACTTTGTGTATTCCATATGGGGTTTGTGGAAAAGAGAATGGTTTGGCCTCCAAGCTGCACTCTCAAAAATATGAAATTCTTAAAGTTAACTCTAAAATTATCCAAAGAGCATGAAAGCTTTCTGCCATATAATATGGATGCCACTGGCAAAGGATGAATAGGACTTTACTCAGGAAAGAACCAGAGAAATATATGTAGCTCATTTTCTTTCACTTTGGGATTTTTAGGTAAAGGATACATTTAATCAGAAGCAGAGCTTTAAATACAAAAAATGTTTGACATTTCCACTATAAACATATAATAAAATTTGTGAGACCAGTGTTCTGTTGTATTTATTCACAATCTCAACTCCTAATTGACCTACAGGACATTATCAATAATTTGATGCAAAGATAATTAATATCCTTATAAAATGAAATATATTATTCTCCTATATCACCTTTTAAAGACAAAGTCTATAAGGAAAATTTTCCTTAGTAACGAGCAAATTGCATAAATGCTTTGCATCTTCAAAAGTCAATATTTTCACTAGATTGCAGGGAAGGACCAGACAGATGTGATTCACATTAGCAAGTATAGGCAAGTGCACTTGACCTTTAGGATCATTTTCTCTTCTTTGGCATTTATATTTCAACCAAAACATTTTCCAGGTTCTTTTAAAACTACATTTGCATAGGAATTATGTTGAATGCATTTTCAGTTGCCAAAAAATAATACACTACAGAAAGTTTTCAAAGATAGTCTATGGGTTAATATCAATTTATAATCGCACTTTTAAATGTCTGACCTTAGAATTGATACACTATGCAAACAGTCACAAGTAGTTTGCATATAATCTGAAAAGTACTAACAAAAATCAATTTTAATTTTATTGAAGTATAATGAATTTCATTTGGTCTCATATCAGTTTTCTCATACCACAATTATAGTCAAAATATTATCCATTTATTTTTTCCCCTAGGCAAGTAAAAACTATGTTGAATTTCCTTCATTGGTAGGTCAACAGAACCAAATAGAAACATCATAAAATGGCAGCTTGTGAGATCAGGAATATTATCTGTCTTGTGAAATTTGCAATTTCAGTGGCTGAAACACATCTATAATATAATACATATTTAATAAATTTTTTTTTAAACAATCAATGATAAAATGAAGTGAGAAAATACATGGAACATATTTTTTTAAAGAATTGTTCATATGTAAATGCAAAAAGTTACTGAATTTTAGGGAACAATGGAAATTTTTATCAATTAATCAAATAGCCCATGATTATTATATATTTTGCAAATTTGACAATGGGAGTCATTATGAATTGCTTTCACTTTCGTTTAATCTTTGAAAGCCTAAAGAAATAATTTTTTTCTAAATGAAAATGAAACTGTCATCAGAAATTTACAAAAATGAGTCTAAAAATTGGTATAATGAAAATATTAAAAGCCCTACCATAAAATTACAAACTTATTAGCTACTTCATTAAAAAGGAGTATATTTTCTTGGTGCTAAAACTGTTATTCTTTGAATTTTATTCATTTCCATGAGGCAAAATTGGCATATATTTGAGTTCAAAGGGCAGTTTCTAACAAAAAAAATACCAATTACTTAACATTTAACACTGCAAGCAGTTTCTCAGAAGACTAACTCAATAAATGATGTCCATTTGCAAACAAGAATGCTATCATGTGTATGTATGCTGCAACAGAACACACATATCAGGCAGCTGCTTAATACATCAACCTTGATTACCTACTGTGTGCCCAGCTCAGAGTCAGATGGTGAGTTCTATGCTATTTGTTTATGACTGATCATCAATCACAATGTTTGCTCTACATGGTTAACATTTTTTTACTACTACCCAAATGAATGCTGGCCTCTTTACATGATTTATTTAAGTAAGTAAAAAAGTGTGGCCAATTCAGGATTACCTCACATTTATTTAGCAGCCCAGTTTCTTGCAGCCGTGACCAGATGCTCTGTATTCGTCCAGCATGCTCAGGGTGGGTGGTGGAACTGCCACAAACGCACTGGTGTTTCAGCATCAGAGGGTCATAGGCAATTCCTTCAAGACAAAGAAAACATACATGTAATGGAACAAGGTAGTGGATACACACTGGACAATAACGTGATCCCTCCAAAAAGTTATTCTTTTTAAAATGAAATTTACAAAGAAAAAACATCTATATCCTTAAGACCCCATAGGAGGATTTAATCTGTGTATCTGCATATGTCTGCAAAAATCTCCATTAGTAGATTAACTAGTACTCAGACCTTAGTTTAGTAAATCTGTAAAGTGATAAAGATGGTGACATTTTAGGAAACTTCAGATTAAAAAAAAGAATGCCATAGTTTTACCAGTATGTAAAATCATTGTTAACTGGGGGCAGATAATTCAATTTAGTAGAAGTTTTCATTTTACCATTCACGCCACAAAATGAGCTGGTTTCTAAATCCTGAATTTATTTAATGAGTAAATTCCACTTTTCCTTTGGATCAGGGAACATCTTTGTAATAAACTGAACAATTTTCTAACTCTTTTCCATTTTGTTTAGAAATGTCATCAAAGATGGGTACTCAGTTTCTTCTTTACTTATGTTTTCCTAAAAATTTATAGCATTTTATAAAATATATGACTATTGTAAATCTATGAGATATATAAGTCCCATATATTGTGAAACATTGGAAGTAGTTCTTTTAAAATATAAATGATTGCTGTAATTCCTTTAGTACAGAGTTCAGTTACTTAATGAATAAAATCTATTAGAAGGTAGTATATTTCATGTTTGAAAAATTTGGTGAAATCAATTATCAAGAGTATATAAAAAAGGACTTTTTAAAGGAACAGATTAGATGATAATTACAACTCTGGTTCATTTTAGGATTTCTACCCATAACCATTTCCCTTGAGAAAGGGGAGAACATGTTACTTACAAAATTGACTAACATAAGATTATTTAACAAATCTGTTCTAATATTTGACCATCAAACTACATTATGGGGTACAGGGACTGAAGTATCCATGATAAGAAATTAAAGAGCAAAAAAAAAAAAAAAAGATCTATTCAGGAACAGATAAGTACCGAAATTTGACTTACTTACATTACTGTGTTAAAGGAATGTTTCTCAGAGGGGAAAAGTATTTGCCCCTGAGTATACCAAAATCCTACAGAAAAATATAACATATGCAATTTGAAACCATGTGGTAAAAATTATGTATAAGAAAAAATATCATTTTGCTGGTTCAAATAATATCCATTCTTAAGAGTCAATGGCTTCAGAACCCATCTTTATGCCTGCTCCTGACTTGTATGTTTTCATCCTTAGCCCTGACCTCTCTTCTGAGTAATATACTATAAACTTACCTATTCAATTGCCCACCCAAAGCTTCCATTTGGATGTCTCATAGATTTCATAAAGTAAGAATGTCTTCAATTTTGAATTCATGATCTTAAACCACACACAGTGTTCCTTATTTTAACAAAGGACACTAAGATCCATCAATGAGTATGCCAGAAACCTTTGTGTCCTCTTGACATTCCCTCTTCTATGAACCAAAGGAGTGTCTGTTTTCCCTTCCAGACAGATCTTGAATCACTCACTTCTTATCTCCACTGCCAAAACCATACACAATCCAAACAACTATTATCACTGATTTGAACTCCTGAGACAGCCTCATAACTGGCTACCTGACTTTCACTCTATGCCATTCACCACAAGACAGTAGCAATTTTTTGCTTAAACATTTCAATGACTTTACTGAGACTGAAATTCCTCAAGGTCAACATCCATAGGCTCCTCTCCATCTCTCCAGCTTCATCACATTACTCCTCCCTCCTTTGATCTCAGTTTCTCCTACAAAGGGCTCCCTTCCTCTCCTTAAAAAGGTCAAAGTCCCATCAGCCTTTGTACATGCTATTCCATCTGGGCCAGAAATTCTTCCTTCCTGATCTTCATAACTATAGCTCCCAACTGGCTAACTTCCTCTTCATCCTTCATGGTATAAAATTTTAACACCATGTCCTCAAAAAAGCATTCCCTGAGAACTCTAAGTGGGATCTCCTCCTCCTCTATCTGGTCTCATAGCATCCTCCATCTCCTTCAGAGCATTGCTCACATTTATGTAATTGCTGCATGTAATTTTGTTAACTGTGCATTTTCTTCACTAAATGTTAAGATATATGAAAGGACAGGCTACAGTATTGTTTATCTTTGAACTTCCAGTGTCTATCCAGTAGATCCTCAAAAGTACATTGTAATGAATGCATGAAAGACAAATAAATGCATGGATTCAAGAACTAGGCTAGGTATTTCCATGATTTAGCCTTCCTTGGTAAATCTAATCAATGGGTCTCCTTGGCGTCTTGAAGTTCACGCAGGCTTATTTCTTTAATATTCTACTTTTTTATTTTGCATGCCTTATCTTCCAACCAGGAATCTATTTTACTCAGCTTTGTATGTCTACAAAGTATTTTTCACGAAGTCCATTTTTTCCTTTGTACAAAACCCAACATAAAAAAATATTTTGCAATAAGGTCAAATGGAATACTTTAAGATAGGCAGAAAAGAAAGCAGGTAGAAGAATGGCATTCAGAACACAACATTCATGAGACATGTCTTCACAATTCAAATTTATCAAGTATTTATGAGTTGCTATTTCAGAACAGGAGCTGTTTAACATATTTTCAACTACAGTTTTGTACTACAAAAAATAAATGATATACTAATAATACAGAAACCAAAAGTATAGTATTGTTTTGTTTTGAAAATATATTCTTCAATAGTAGGAATTTTAATCATTGTGTTGCTTAACTATTTCTACTTCATCTCTTAACATATCCAAGCTCACTTCCATCATAATTTTTCCCCTTTTAACATCATTTTCCTCATAACTCACTGCCAAGAAAAAGAAAATTACAAAACAAGTTGTGGTAGTTAGAAATTATTGCCAGGGATCTGGAGATTATAATAGAAAGTCCAGGAGCTTTTGGAAAGACGTTCGAATTTAAGGGGAAATAAATAAAATCTGGATCCCCCAACCTCCACTGCCTCATCTTAATGACATATCAATGAGGTGTTAACAGGTAGACTGGAAGGTGAGACTTTAACCTCATCCTTCATCTCTACTCCTTTTCTCTTTTTTTTTAATTCCCTCTCAAAACTGGGGACATATAGGGTGAAAAATAAGCCTACTCTTTTCTTCAGGATTCATATGGAATTCTATTTTTCTTTGACTCTTTCTGCCCCACTGGTTGTCACTGGCAATGCAAGCCAATGGATCACTCTTTCTCTCGATTAATAGGACAAAAGTTAAAAATTAAGAATTGGAAAAGTATATGAAGGAGTCTTTTGTTAGTCAGCTTTTTCCTTGCTGCAACTAAAAGATCTGACCAGAACAAATGAAGAGGAGGAAAAGTTTATTTGTGAGCTCACGGTTTCAGAGGTTTTAGGCAGCTGGCTCTATTCCTTGGGCCCCAAAGTGAGGCCAAACATGATGAAGGAAGAGTGTGAGAAAGAGTGTGGTGAAAAGAAGCAGCTCACCTGATGATTAGGCAGCAGAGAGAGAGAGAGAGAAACTCCACTTTCCAAATACAAATATATACCCCAAACCATAACCCTAATGATCCCCCTCCTCTAGCCACACTCCTCCTGCCTCCAGTTACCACTCAGTTAACTCCTTCAGGGATTGATTCACTGATTAAGTTAAGGCTCTCACAACCTAATCATTTCCACTCTGAACCCTCTCACATTGTCTTACACGTGAATCTTTACCTGTATTTTGAACCCTAATAGTGAGTTTCATACCAAACAAACAAACAAAACAAAACAAACCCTCCTCAAAATTCTGAATATTTTAGATAAGCTTTGAGCTTTCTCTAGGTTATTTTATTAAATGAGATAACGTAATTGAAACACTGAGTATAGTGTCTTTCCCTTCCTAAATCATTACATGTAGGTAAGTCATTTTTTAGCTCATGGAATCTATTCATGTCTATAATAGGGTTTATGTTCAGTCTAGTAAGATCTGATTGAGTAGAGCTGGTTTATAAGGAGGAGTCTAGCATCTTTAGATGCCTTCTTCTGTGTCCTAGCTACTAACATTCAGCTAATTTGCATTTATAGAAACTGCCTGAAGTTTCACACCTTCTAAAGACATTTACTAAACACTACTGGAGCTAAGTGAGAAGAGGGAGGACTAGCACAAAACAAAGATGTATGACACGGCATTGTAACACATAATGATGGTTCACTATGTTCAAGGTATTGGCAACTTCAATTTATTACCATTAAACTTACAATCTAGTAGTTAAAGTGAGACACATACAAACATATGACATGCATTTGTAAAACTTCCGTATGCTAAGGAAGGAAAAAATGTGGGATGAGTAAGAGGAGCGTTCTTAAAAACAAAAATATTTAAATGACAAAATGACTTGCAAATGATGGAAGGTGAGGCCATTAATAGAATGGACAGAATGAACTACGGTCAGTGCTCTCTATCCATGAATTTCATATCCACCCAGTGATTCAAAAATATTGTAGGAAAAAATTATATCTGTCTAGACATGTACATACATTTATTTCTTATAGTATTTTTTCTAAAAAAAAAACAGTAAAATAACAATTTACAGAGCAATTACATTGTACCAAGTGTCAAAAATAATCCAGAGATGATTGAAAGTATACAGGAGAATGTGTAAAGGTTATATGCAAAAACTAGGCCATTTCATATAAGTGTCTTGAGCACCTAGGGATTTTGGTATTCTTGGAGGTTCCTGAAAACAATCCTCCACAAATATCAAGGAATGAATGCATTTTGAAACAAAGATCATTTCTAACAACCTTCAAATACTCATAGTAGCCATTTTACTTTTCCTATATATAGTTCCCATCTATCCATAAAGCTTATCTTGCCTTATTTTTTCTATTTCCACCCCAATCTCTACATTATACTACATTTAATATTTGCTATAAGACCTTTGATTTGGAATACATAAATAAAAGCATCAAACTGTACAATTTTAATTATATTTAATACATAATTTAATTAACTTGGTGTGTCAA